GGAAGGGATGAGGGAGGGGAGGAGGGCGGGCGAAATCAGGCCAAAAGGGTTAAGTGGGACGATGAGGCTGCGGGAGGAGGAGAGGAGGAGGAGGAGGGGGAGGAGGGGGAAATGCGCCAGTCTGGGACGGAGAACGAGGACGAGGAGGAGGGACAGGGAGAGGAGGACGACGACGAGGAGGGCGAAGGAGAAGAAGATGATGATGATGACGTGGAGATGTCCGGCATGTAAGTAGCAGGCAAGTTACTGTAATTAACCCTTACGCCTGAAATCCGGACAAAGTCAAGATAGATAGGTAGATGTACATGTACATGTAGATCCCTTTCCTTCTTCCCGTGTAGAAAACGATATACATACATTCCTACCTACCTATATCCACTCTACGCCTTACGCTGCTTCCATCACTACTACCCCTCACCACGCAAAGGGGAAAAGCTATATATATATATCCCCCCGATATCCGTACAAAACACGTAAATCAACCAAGGAAGGAAGAAAGAAAGGAAGAAACGAAAAAAGCAGAGCGTTGAAAATAGTATATATATATATATATATATATATACATCGGAGCAAGCATACATACCGCATACCACACACCACATACAACCAATAATAAAACGAGGCGCGCGATGAGAAGACAATAATAATAATAAAAAAAAAGACAAAACCAAGCAAGAGGGTGAGGGTGGGGGTGAGAGTGAAAGAAAAAAAATATGAAAATCATAGATTGACTAAGCTCAACTTAAAAGACACCGCATATTGCATATTTTAAGACACATTATTTATTATATTAACAGCTAGCTAGCTCCTAAAGGAACTAACTAGCGGTGCGCAGATGTAAAGACAGAGATAACAAGGGAAGACAAAACCGAGGCGGAAAGGACATCAGACGTGACGAACCAAAGTAACAACTACTACTCCGGAGAGAAAACGGGAAAACAGAAGCCAGGACAGGACAACAAGACACAACAACAAAGTGACCAGTTACCAGAACGCCGCAGCTCAAATCACTAGCGAAATCGAGAAAGAAAGGGGCCACCCAACCCGTCCAACACGTTGCTGTAGAATCCCAATCCCCGAATCCCAATCCCCGAATCCCAATCCCAAATCCCAAATCCAAAAAGTAACTCCTCAAACGAAAAAATAAAACAATTAAAGAAACAATGGAGCACACGGGGCCAGATACATAAAATTGAATATAAATATTCACGCAAACCTGATAAAAGGGAAATTATGTGTGTATGTATACGACACACATTTACACACTTTCCCTGCTATGAAAACAAACCTTTTTAGAAAAAGGAAAGAAAGTAACTCCCCAAATCACTCCATCACTCCATCTCCTTTAGCCTCCGCCTCAGCTTCATCCGCCGCACTCCCGCTCTCCCAAATCTCTATCTCTATCTCGTTGTTGGTGGGTAACGACGACGACGATGCAAGAGAACAGGTAGGAGTGAGGTTTTTGGCGGTGCTGGTGGAAGGCATTTGTGGAGCCGTACTGGATATCAATGCGGAGATGGCGGCGTGGCTGGCTAGAGTGGGATTGCCTGGTTTTGGTTGAGGTTGTTGGTGATGATGGTGATGAGGGTAGGGGCTGTGGGGGGAGGAGTTATGAGCTGATGGGGGAAGGCGTTGAGATTGCGACTCTGGATCCGACTCTGAGAGTTTCTCGTCTTGAAATTGACAATTTTCTTCCTGGCCGGTTGGTGGTGGGAGGGGGATCGCTGCTGGGTCGATAGTGTTGAGTACGCATGCATTCTCACTTCCATTTCCGTCCTGCTCTTCCTCATCTGTTTCCTCAGACACAGCCACGAACCGCGTAACATCCAGCTCGCCCAGCGCTGAGCGCGGACGCGGTTCATCCGTCATTTCCACATTCCGCCCCTCCACGCCATCTACGGTGGCGGCGGCGGCGCCAGAAAGAGAAGCAGCAGCAGCAGCCGCAGCAGCAGAAGGAGCGACTGTCACCCCTGCGTCATCAACAGCCGCATCCTGCTCCCCCGCAAAGTCCAGGGGCGGAGGCGGAATATTTTCCTTCCCGCGATCGTCTACATTTCGCAGTTTATCCTCATCGTCACTAATATCCAGCACGCATGTTGAGTGTTCCATGAGATTCGCCATCTCATCCTGCTCGGTATCGGTGTAGATCTCAAAGTCCCAGACTTTGGGGTGATTGCGGTTGACGCGACTACTGTTGCTGCTGTTGCTGTTGATAATATTAATATTGACATTAGTATCCAGGGGTGAGGGTTTAGCGCTCTGCAACGTCCGTGTCTGCGGTTTGGTGCTGTGCGTGCTGAGAGCCCTGGTATTGAGCGAATTGAGGGTTCCATGGAGGGCATCAGCGATGGAAAAGGGAGCGCGTGACGCGACACGAGTTTTGGTAAATGAAAGCGGATCAATGCGGGTGTATGAGCCGATACTGCGGCGGGAGAAGGCCTTAGCGGGTTTGGATTTCGGAGAGCGCCCTGCTGGGGCACGGAGCGGAGCTGAGTTGGGAAGGGAAGAAGCCCTGTTGATTTGAGAGAGTGGTGTTTGGAGATGCTTCTGGTTCTTCGCAAGGCTGGGTTTCGGGGGGGCGACGAAGACGAACTTGGCCGCAGAGCCTGGAGCGGTTTTGGAGACGTCCTCATCACCAGTGCCTCTGGCCCTTTTCGCACTTGGAGTGTTGAAAGCAGACGGATCTACGTTTTCCGTGTCGGACAGGTCAGATGTGTCTAGACGGCGTTTGAGATAAGGGGTTGGAATTCCTATCGAGCGCGGGAATCGTCAGTGGCTATGGACGTGTTTTTTGGTTGGTTGGAATATATTTTGATCTACAACTATAGATAAGAAAGCACCTCTAACTGACCATTCTGTTGGTTTTTCGCGCTCTGCAGAAAACGCAGCCGTGAGGGGTCAATGACTCCAAATGGCTGCCGCGCAGGGGGGGAAACGGGCTGGGTGAGAGCCATATCAAGTACGAAATTGTATATATATATATATATATATATATATATTGCTGATGTGCTGCTAGAAGGGGGTGCGCAAAGGTCGTCTTCTGTGGGCGAAACAAGCTGGGTATGACGGTGAAAATCAACGCAATGGTCTCCTGGAGAGT